TGTGTTCTTGTGCATTCCAGTTAAAAACTGGGGGTGGTTCTAGCATTTCAATGGAAGGGACCCGAGGGGGGTCAGGTTGGTGCAATGAATGGATGATGGGTTTTGCTGGGAGGGGGTAAGGGTTAGCCGCGCGCGCGCGCTCTCTCTCTCTCCCCCCCCCAGCCCAAATCCACGCATAGCCCCCTTTCTAGCAGATTTTTGCTTGGCAGCAAAGACTTGGTGGATATGGGGGGGTGGTTCTAGCATTTCAATGGAAGGGACCCGAGGGGGGTCAGGTTGGTGCAATGAATGGATGATGGGTTTTGCTGGGAGGGGGTAAGGGTTAGCCGCGCGCGCGCGCTCTCTCTCTCTCCCCCCCCCAGCCCAAATCCACGCATAGCCCCCTTTCTAGCAGATTTTTGCTTGGCAGCAAAGACTTGGTGGATATGGGGAAGGCATTCCAAACTTTGTTGGCTTGCAGAGCAGTCCCCGGGCCTGTTTCCATGGAAATAAATCCCACCGTGCTGCTCGAAGGGGGGGGGGGATTACTTTCTAAGAAGTGTGTTTCACAACAGTAGCCTTAAGGGACCTGGGAAGATACCAGAGTTGGGCAGCGGTCTTCCGCAAGGTTGGAAACTCACGGGATGGAAGAGGACCCTTTTTTAGGAGTCCTGTGTGTCTGGACGCCCGACACGGTTGGGGGTCTAGTGTTGCCCTTCTCGGAGAGCTTCTTGAAAGCCTCTGGGGGAGACCCTTGTTTTAAGATGAATTTGGGGCCTTATGTAGGAAAAACAGCAACAACTGTTCTTATGGGAATATCATTGCTAATCTCTGCACGTCAGAACTCTTCCTTAAAGGAACAGAAGCAGGCAGGGCATGTGTGTGCCTGCGTGTGTTTATTTTTTTCCCCTGATTGTGCTCTGGAATTTGTTTTCAGAACTGGTGATGGTGCACAGCAGGTTATTTTCATAAAATGACAGCCAGGGAGATGCTCGGCTGCTGAGGAGCTGTAGCTTTGGCCTGGAATCTTGGAAAGGTTTTGCCAGGCAGCTGAAGGGATCCGAGTCTGGTTTGCAGGCTTCAGTTCCTGCTTTTTTTTTTCCCCCTGGTATTTTGTTTAGAAGTTAATTTTGTGAAGTGTGTGTGGGAGGGATGTCATTAATTAAGGTGTAGGGATGGTGGAGGAGAGTAACAGGGAAAGGTTTCAAAGTGGGGTGATGCTAATTAGTAGGAGCCAGAATGTGAGTGGCATTGGGTGTCTGGGGGCACTTAGTGTTCATGAGAAGGGCAGAACTTGATGGTGGCTTGCTCTCCCTCCCCTTTTCCTTAGCAGTTTTTTAGGGTCTGGAGGTGACGTCTGGCAGGCGAGTACCATGTGAGCTGGGCTTGGCCCAGCGTGGCACAGAATATGAGTGAGTTGAACCATATTTTCATGCCCTTGTAAAAACTTTTTATTAGGCGGGGGGGGGGATAACTCACACTGGTTTGTGGATCAAGCTGCTAGACAGCTCTCTATGTCAGCTGTGTGCTGTGTGACCCCTGCTTGACCAGAAGTCCGGTCCATATCAGCTTTCACACACCCATATATAAGTCTGCTCAGCCTTTCAAGGCACTGAAAGGTGTCCTGTATTCCAGAGGGAGGCTGGCCACAGCATTAGCCTGCATCAGTTGTTACAGTGGACCCTCTACTTAAGGAATTAATCCGTATTGGAATGGTGGCTGCAAGTCGAAAAGTCTGTAAGTCGAATCTCCATTGACCTACAATGCACTGAAAACCGATTAATCCCATAACCAGTGGTTTTTATTCTATTAATATTCAATTTTGGGTTTTTTCTGGTCTGTAAGTCGATTCTCTGGCTGCAAGTCGAATCTAAATTTTGCAGCCAGAGAAGTCTGTAACTCGAAAAGTCTGTAAGTCGAGCCGTCTGTAAGTCGAGGTTCCACTGTACTTGTCAGTGTTGAAGATGGTAATATCTGGCCATCAGTGCAGAAATATTTCATTCTGTTGGACTGTTAGAATTGGTTTGGTTGGTTTCCATCTCTATTTCTGGGTTTACAGTATCACCTTATTAATTGGAGCCTGTAGTGGACTCTGTATTCGGTTCAGATCCGAGAAAAGTTTGGCTCAGATCCTGCTCAGACATGTAGCTTGTTCAACAGCTTCTCTCCATAAGGCTGTCTTGCAGAATTGCTTTCGGGATGTATAAGTATTGATAAGTCATTTTAAACATTGTCCATTTTTATACTTCTTACCTGAATACTCATAGATGCTGGAAGCAATTCTGTAAGACATCATTCTGATTCCTTGTGAGATTTGTTAGCTGAGCAGACATTAGAGGATGCATGGCCTTTCATGGTGCTGAAAGGCGTGCTGTATTCCCTTCTGCAGGTTCAGAGGTGATGCACTACTGTCATATACAGCCAGAATAATTCTCCAGAGTGACAGGATGAAAGAGCTTTGGAGGTCATCTAGTTCATCCTTGCTCAGTGTAGGATACGAAGTGCATCTAAATGCCCACTTAGCCTCTCCTTAAACATCTGCAGCAAAAAAGCTAGTCATTCCACTGTCGGACAGCATTTATTTTCATGAAGCTTTTCACAAGGTTCGGCTGACATCTTCTGCATAATATCCACCTGTTAATTCTAATTCTGTCTTATGGTGCAGAAGGGAAAGCTTCTGTAGGGCCAGGCTTCCTTAAGACCTCTCCTTTGTGGATGAAGGAGGAATAAAGCCCAGCCTAGAATTTTGTCCTGAAAACGACAAGATAGAAGAGCCTTTTCTTAACTGCTTCCATTCTGGATCATAGTCATGTAAATGTTTAAGTGGGCTCTGAGTTGAAAGAACCAGTAGTGAAGATCATAGAAGGTTTTAGCCAAAGACTGGAGGGTATTAACTGCCCAAGTTTAGGTGCAAATTAATCAAATTATTATACATCTGATTATTTTTGTCTATCAGAGCAAAAGTCCGTTTCCCAGACTTCATAATCTTTCAGTTCTATAACTAATTATCTGACAATGTCTTCCTACTTTGTTCCAGTTTGGTGATCCATTCCTGGGAAAAAGACCCTCCGGTTCAAGAAAACATTCCTATCAACCGTCATTTTAAATGTGTGCAAGGTATGCAAACTTCTTCACCCCTTCATTTGTGTCGGTTCTTCTTGGCGATTCATGGCTTCTTGGCAGGAAGTTGAGAAGGACCAGGATCCTGTGCCAAAATACGAAAAAGGGAGCAGGAGTCCCAGTAACTCTTTTGAACTGCTGGGCCCATCTCAGTTTTCTGATCCTTTCTCTTCTCTTCTAGAGGCTGAAGAAACTTTGCTGATCGACATAGCGACAAACAGTGAGTCCTCTTTACTGGATTTTTGTCAGAAATAGATTTTGCTTGTCATTGATGTGTCCTCTTTCCCACTTGACTCATCATCCCTGTTGCTGCTCATCTCCTCTTCCAGGCTGTGCTGCTTGTAGCTGATTTTTCCTAGAGAAGCTGCTGCTGGGGTTTAAAGAATTTACTATTGCACAATTAGCCTGTGTGGTGCATTATGGAATATAGGTCTCTGCCTGTAGGCGCTTGCAGTTGGGTTCCATTAGGGGTTTGGAAACAGGAAGGCAGAGAAAGAAGTGCATGTGTTCTGTGTTACCACATTGTATTTGAGCTTTCTTTTAACAGAGCAGAGATGGAGATGGTATGGTCTTCCCATCATCCCTCATCTTTGACCTTCAGGGCTAGGATTTATGGGAATTGTAGTGAAGCAACATCTGGAAAGTTGCACTTTGCTGCCTTGATTGCAGAGGAGACAGAGATTAATTCAGCCCTCTCGAACCCGGAACTCTGAACTCTCCAGATAGGATCATTGACAGTTCCCATGATCCTTAGTGATCATAGTAACCATGCTGGGAGGGGAGGGGAGTTGTAGTTCAGTACATCTGGAATGTGCAGGTTGGGGAAGGTAGGTTGTAAGACCCAGGAGATAAAGGGATGGAAAAGGCCACAGTGCGTTGATAAAAACGAATTGGTGTACTGCAGCCGGTCTGTCTAGTTTTTGGCTTTGTGTTTGGATATTATTTTAGATAAGGAAATGAAGCTGAACCAGGATAAATAATAGTTTATTCCTGAACTAGAACAGAAGATAAACCACGATCTGAAACTGAAATGGAAGAGAATGAGAGGGAAATGATGCTGGTAGTTCAGAAAAGGTGTTCAGCCAAATGACAAAACAGAAAACAGAAAAGCTTGGCCTGTTAAACTCATTAGCTCTTTTGCTAAATGGAGATCAGAATGAGCACATGCCACCTGAGAGCCAGGAGGATCTTTGTACTTGGGACCTTGCCCTCTTTGAAAGCTTGGGCTGGAGTTCAGGACGTACATGTACAGTAAGAACATATATGTAAATAAAAAGGGGGGGTGCCTCCTTGGGAAATAGGAAATTACCATCTACTATCGTGTTTCCCTGAAAATAAGACAGGATCTTATATTAATTTTTGCTCCGAAGAGCACATTAGGGCTTATTTTCAGGGGATGTTTTGTTTTCTTCATGTACAATAATCTACATTTATTCAAATACAATCATGTCATCATCTTCTGGTTGCTGCACAAGGGTGGAGGGCGGGATTTCACTTATCTGGGGCTTATTTTTGGGGTAGGGCTTATATGACGAGCATCCTGAAAAATCATACAAGGGCTTATTTTCAGGTTAGGGCTTATGTTCAGGGAAACAGGGTAGAAACATAGGTGGAGCAGAGATAAGAAGCCGGCAGGGCCTGTTTGAAATGAATAGATGTGAGCACACTTCTTGGTCGGGCAGGAGGTGATAAACCTAAAGGAGGGAGGGGGGAGAACGCCGCCTCTCCTGTGCTGTAATGCTCAGACAGCTTCTATAAGTGGCGGGTGTGGTGCTCAAAAGTCCGTGGGCAGCAGGCATCCTGCTCCACGGGATAAGCACATTGTGTTTCGTGCAAGGCCTCCACTAGCCAAGGCCACGTCCTGAACATTGGAGGGATGAGCGACCGGGCTTTCTATAGCCTGGCAGTTCTGAAGGAGTTCTCAGCGCAGACAGAGGGTCGCTCCAGGCAGGGCAACTTCGTTGGAGAGCCTGTTCCGCTTTGGGCGCTCTCTGGGCCTTCACATTTACCAAGGTATTAAGGACGTTTTGCATATCCTTAGTGTTAACACCAGCTAGCTCAGTAGTCCCCAACTTCGGGTCACCCAGGTGTTCTTGAACTTCAACTCCCAGAAACTCTGGCCAGCGCACCTGGTGGGGAAGCCTTCTGGGAACAGCAGTCCAAGGACATTTGGGTTACCTAGGGTTGAGAACCACTGAGCTAGATAATATAAATCAGTCCTGTCTGGAAGTACAGGAGAGTAAGGATGATGCCACGACCTGCTAGATCACTGGGCTGAGTCACCCAGGTGCTCTTGAACTTCAACTCCCAGAAACTCTGGCCAGCGCACCTGGTGGGGAAGCCTTCTGGGAACAGCAGTCCAAGGACATTTGGGTTACCTAGGGTTGAGAACCACTGAGCTAGATAATATAAATCAGTCCTGTCTGGAAGTACAGGAGAGTAAGGATGATGCCACGACCTGCTAGATCACTGGGCTGTGAGGTGGCTCGTTCCACCACATTAGAGAGGAATGCCAGCTAACCTTGGATAACTGATTTATTGCAAGTAATGTGGGAGAGGCTGTGGCTCAGTGCACACCTTTTGCCTTTAGTGGATCGCAGGTTCAATCCACAGTAGCTCCCATTTAGATTAGGGTAGAATCCTGCCTGGAACCTGAGGTTGCTCCATCTTGATAATACTGGCCTGGAAGAAGCACACCTGAACAGGTGGGTGTACCTCAAACCGGTTCCTGAGAGCTATAGCCACTTATTAGTCTCAAGGAGAGTTGTTCTGTTATGTGTCGTCAAGTCAGACCCAACTTATAGCAGTCCTCATAGGGCTTTCAAGGTAAGGGAGATATTTAAGGAGTGATTCTACCACTTCCCTCTCTTCCCCTAGTGAGTTTCCGTGGCTGGGGGGTGAATTTGAACCCAGGCCTCCATAGTCCTAGACCCTCAGTGTATCCACTACACCATACTGAGTATGCAAAGTAGAGCAGAACCCCGTGAATAGCAACACTTTGTTCATCTTGTGGGGCTGCTATGTTTATTATTAAATTTGGATTTAGCCCCGAACTTCTTTATTGACCTGAACGAGAATCAGAACTGAACATCAAACTGGTGGTTCAACTCTGCTGGTTCAATGGCATCATGTAAAGATACAAAACCCGATGCTTTGTGTGCCGTCAAGTTGATTCCAGTTTATAGCAGCCCCTTGCCTTGGATATCCTGAGCAGAAAAGCGCATAATCCCTTCTTCCAAGGATGTGCCCTGGGACTGTGCAGCTTGCCCAAGGCTACACAGGCTGTCTCTTCTACCGGGAGGCACAATGGAGATTTGAACACCTGGCTCTACAGCCAGAGACTACAGCTCACTAGCCCATGTAGCCAGTGGTCGTATAAAGGGTTACTTTCATAAAATGGGATGTCAGCCTAGGGATGCATGTGAAAAAGAGGAATAGTGATGGATGTCTAAATGCGAGGAATCCGGGACACGGAAGGTATTGATTTTCTCTGTATGGCAAGATAAAACTGAGGGTTTTGCATGATAATTCTATCTACATGACTGGCAAAAAGGCTTCACTGTTATAAAAAGCAAACCTTGGCTGTTTCCCACTCTTGAATTCTCAAAAACCTGTCGTCTGTGGCTGGTGGCTGCCTCTTTTTTGCTACCCATAGAAAAGGGGTGCCTGTTTATTGACCCTGGGGTGGTACAGGAAGGATGGAGTGTTTGATGTCCAACCTGCACTGTAGAAAAACGTATCTGATCCCTTTGAAGATAAGTGTCTGTTCAAGGATCATTATCATTCAGGCAGAAGTGTGTAAGGTGGAAACCTATGCTTAACTGGAAGCTACATTCTGGTGTTCACATTTCTGCTTAATAAGGCAAGAGACAAAATATGCAGCCCTCTTGCTCCTTCTTTTTCAGCAAAAGAAGACAGGAAGGCACTAATTAACCTTAATTCCTCAAACCAGAGAACTGGGCCTAGCAGCTTTGAAACAAACCAGGATGTTAAACCATGGTTTGAGCTTGAGTTAAAATCCTGGCTTGTTCTGAAGCTAGTAACCCTAATTTCTTCATTTGGATGAAACAGGAAATTATGATGTTTTAGAAGGCTGTGCCCATCTTGAAACATGGCTGCATGCCAAAATGTTATTAAGCCAAGATGTATCTGTTCGAAAGAAGACCAGTCAGTACTGCGGTCTGTTCGAAAATAACAGACATTTCGGGTATTTTGCATTTATCTCTAAGAAATATGTATCTGGTTCTGTTCTATATAGTCATCATCTTCAGTGTTTTAATAATGTTTTTAACAGAGAGCCAGCTAGCTCTTCTTTGTTATTTCCATGTTTTATTTTCATTGTGGTGATGTTATTTATTTAACATACTGTAGTTTCCTTTTCTTTTTGACATAATAAACACCCCACAATACATGTCAAATCATATCAGATGATTGCCAGCAACCTGATCTCTGTTCCTGGATCTCTGGGTGGGGCTGCTTCTCAGCTCAAAGTCCACTCTGATTACAGTTTGTAGCATTTTGTAAAGGCATCTCTTCCTATTGAGGCACAGTTCACATCCAGGCTTATCAGAGCAAAAATGTTGCGCTTGTTAATGTTGTGTCTAAAAAGAAATTCATTGCGGCCTTTAAGATGGCATAAACAGCAAAGCAACCCCCCACTTCAAATCAGCGAGTGCTTTGTGGTGGGTTTTGTTTTGTTCTTCCTTCGATCCACCGTTCTCTCCTTTTAAAGCCAGCCCCGTTTCGTGGTGTGGGGCTGTTTTGCTTATCAGTCCTCCTGCCCTGTTTCCCGAGCGTCTGCTCTTCTTCCTTGTCCTTCCAGCTGGCTGCAAGATTCGAGTGCAGGGCAACGGGACCGCAGAACGGCTCTTCGAGGTCCCGGATGAAGAGCTCTGCTTGAGCTTTCTTTCCGAGGTGCTGCGGATTCAGAAAGGTAACCGTCTCTGCTCCCTCCTGCCCTGCTGAGTGGTTTAGGATGATATCTGGTGCCTGACATGGGTATTTCCCTCACTTTTTAAAAAAACTTCTTTTTCATTTCTCCCCAGACCTTTCAAAGGCTTCCTTCTCTGATCTTACGGACCATCCGTCCTGGCACCAAGTGAAAGGCCTGTCGGGTCCAGCAGATCCCCTTTCTGCAGGTAACGTGGCCTGATCTAACGGGCATCTCTTGTCCTCTGTCATTCCTGCTTAGCAGACTTGCTGAAATTTAAACACGTCCTTCCTTGCTAGCATGCAGAGGTGCACAAAACCCCAAAAAGATGCTAACAGAGTAGGAAGGGGCTTGGAAAAAGAAGTCACCTTTTGCTTTATTTATTTACTTACTCAACCTACAGAGTTTCACCCGAGTTAGAAACCCAGTAGCAAGCCCACCCAGCTGCTGTCTTCTCTTTTCATGCCAGCATTTTCCACACACACACACACACACTCAGCTTGTTTCTCCCTCCGCTGCAGTACTCACTTTCTAATGGTTTTAAATATTTATTTCAGTACACATTGTTGTGTGATGAGGTGAAAGGAAGAGAAACAGGCCTAGTGGACAACAGATTAACTGCTAAGTTCATAGCCAGTGCAAGAGGGTTTCATAGCTGCAATTTTTATGATGTAAACAGAAGAATCCACCAAACACTTCTGACCAAGCACTCCTAAAAGCTATTTGTGTGCCAGTTGGTGGTTCTGGGAAAACCTTTGGGGAGATATAAGTAATGCAGGTATTTAAGTTGGGAAATAAATAGTACTGTATTTCCCTGAAAATAAGACAGCATCTTATACAGTGGTGCCCCGCATAACGAGCGATTCATTTAACGACCAATCCGCATAGCTATGTGTTTTTTGCGATCGCAAAAGCGATTGCATTACAATGTTTCTAATGGTAAAACATTACCGATGTTCGCATAGTGATGGTTTTTTTAACAGCTGATCGGCGGTTCCAAAATGGCCGCCCGCTGTGTTTTCGCGCCCTTTCCTCGCTTACCGGGCAGCTAAAATGGTGGCCGCATGGGGGATTTCCGCATAACGGTGAGTTTTTTGCCCATAGGAACGCATTAAACGTGTTTTAATGCGTTCCTATGGGCTTTTTTGCCCCGCATAGTGACGAATCCACAGAGCGACAATTTTTTCAGAACGGATTGTCGCTATGCGGGGCACCACTGTATTAATTTTTGCTCTAAAAAACACATTAGGGCTTGTTTTCAGGGAATGTTTGATTTTTTTCCAAGTACAACAATCTATATTTATTCAAATACAGCCATGTCCTCTTCTTTTGGTTGTTGCACAAGGGTGGAGGGCTCATTTTTAGGGTAGGTCTTATGAGCATCCTGAAAAATTATGTTCAGGTTATTTTCAGAGCTTACTTTCAGATTAGGTCTTAATTTTGGGGAAACAGGCTATTTGCACCCATTTATGGATTTCTGGCTCTTGCTGTTTGTCAGTTGGACAGCTTGATTTTAACTTGGCACTGAGATGAAGGCCACGTGAGCCCCAGTTGGGCCTCCGAGGAGAAGATGTTGCACTCCTGGAGTTCTACGTCTGACATCTAGTCTTTAGTGTGCTACTTTCAATGGCGGGAGATGAAGGCCAGCCCCGATCAGATCTTGACAGCCAGCGAGGTCTACCTGGGGAGGAATCCTCTTTCAAACATCAAGACGCCTCCTGCTCCTGGTGTCTTCATTTCCTACGTGCCTTCCTTAAGTCTCCCCTAGAGGATTTTGAAGTCATAACCCCAGATGGTTCTTTTTTTTTTAATCTCAGGGATTCTGGGATTTGAAGATAACTTCAATGCTCTGAGTTTGGAGAAGAAAAGAAACCTTCAGAACCAGCAGATGAGTGCCCGTCGGGAGCCTCCGCCCCCTCCTTTGCCACAAAACAAGCCGTAAGTTGCCTTGAGCCTGCCCTGCGGTTGCTCCAGCCGAGGGGGGGGGCTCTCTTTGAGTCCACCTTTCCTTCCCTTCCAGAGGGCTCCGCGAGAAGGAGGGGGTCAGCAAGGATCCACCCAAGGTTAGCAACACCATGCGCATGTTCTTCACCCCTTCCACACATACGCAGTCTGGGCAGCGGGAGGGACTCATTAAGCACGCCATCGCCAAGAGAGAGAAGGAGTACGTCAACATCCAGAACTTCAGGTGAGTGCTGTTGTGGAAATATCAAAGGTAGAGTTGAGTTTTGGCGTGGGTAGCACACCTCGGCCAACTTCCAAGGCTCTAAATGTCATGAAAATGTGACGGGAAATCTTTCTTGGGAGGTTAGGAGTAAATGAGATTCCCTTGGCAGCCAGAACCTGTCCTGTTTATTTAGCTCTCTCTCTCTCTCTCTCTCCCTCTCTATGTGTGTGTGAGAATGTGTTTGTGAGTGTGTGTGCCTCAGTGAGCCGTTAGCACTCACACCCTCCCCCACACAGAGACCAGGTTCAGCTGCTTCTGCCATGGATTGGTGATGCCTCCAAGCCCTAAAATGTGATGATGTCTTATTTCCAGGAGTGAACATCACTTTCTGACTGAAATCCTGTTGCTTAGTGTCATAAATTGCAGCTAGAGTATATCAATTGAATTAGTGGGCCTTGGCGAGCTGACTCCTCTGTAGGTTCCATTTATTTGAAAATGTATATGCTACCTTTCTCCTAAAGCATCCAATTCATTCAATTCCACTGATTCAGTGGGACTGTTTTACTTACCGAACAGGATTTCAACCTCAGTTTGACCAGTTCCAAATATTGCCACAATTTGCAGCAAATCTGAAATGGAAGCAAAGTTTCTGGACTATAGCTGCGCCAGGAGAGTTGAGCGCTCCAGCTTGAGACTTAATGCAGCTTGTGTTCTTAATGTTAAACCCTGATTTAACATTCAGTTCAACCCTGTAAGGCCATGGGTTTCAACAGTTACGTACGTTTTTCTGTTTTGTTTGCAATCCTTAGGATAAGAACAATCCTTATTACTTGCATAGCATTTGTTCTTTTTAAAAAAGTTTTGCTATTTCGGTGTTTTGAGTGGCATGCTCTTAAGAGGCACAAATCCCACTCTCTGGGTTGAGGCGGGTTTCTTTACACATTGCAAAAAAAGAGATCGGTGTTTGCCTTTGGCTTACAAAGCCCATTCAGGGCCCCAGATGGCCAAACATAAGTAAGCATTTGCTGCAGGTGTTTTACGGTGCCTGGGACTCGTCTTGCCTGCCTTTGTAGCCAGGCGCCTGTCGGGGGAACCTAACTCTCTTTGGGTGTCCCCTATTCGGGTTGCAGCCTTGTTGCCGCAGCTCAGTACCCTTCCATACATTTGCAGGTTTTTTGTAGGGACATGGAATGTGAACGGCCAGTCTCCAGACAGTGGATTGGAACCTTGGCTTGGCTGTGACCCAGAACCCCCCGATATCTACTGCATTGGGTGAGTGAGCCCCAAAGGTTTTCAGGGACCAAGGACTTTGTGGAGCCCACTCAGGTGAAACTCTGGCAGTGATGATTAAATGGAGATCCTGTTGCCCTTTGCTGGATATTAGGCTTGATGGGGATCATTGTGCACCATCGTCAATCAAGATCTATGACAACTCTCCCAAGGGCTTTTTTTTTTTTTTTAAGGTATAATCTACAGTGGTGCCCTGCATAGCGAGGTTAATCCGTTCGGGATTAACCATCGCTATAAGAAAACATCGCTAAACGGGATGGAAAATGCCATTGGAACGCATTAAACTTAGTTTAATGCGTTCCAATGGCTTCTGTACTCACTGTTAAGCGAAGTTTTCCCCATCCGCAGCCATTTTCGCACCCTCGGTAAACCGCCGAACAGCTGATCCGCGGGCGTCGCAATGCAAGTTTTGCCCATTGCGGCGGTTGGGATGCCTTCGCATTAGCAATCCCCAAAAAGGGATCGCTATGCGAATTCATCATTATACGGTGCGCTCGTTAAGCGAGGCACCACTGTGCTCAGGAATGTTTCCCCAGTCCCTCCTCCTGGCATTCTGGGACCACCTAACTTGCGCAAGGGCTACACAGCGGTTGGAACTGTTAAACCCCATCAGCTGCACATGTTCTCACTGATCTAAGCGGACTCCTCCCTGTGAAAGTACAGAGGGGATTTGAATCTCTGGCCCCTCTGCCAGGCATTCCAACCCATTGAGCTTTACATCTTAAGGCTGTCTGTGGTTTGCTTCAGCCAGAAAGCACTGTCCTATCCTATGGAAGGCAAGAAGGACAGGCTTGCATCCCGTGAGCACTGGGTTGCTGTCGTTTCAAGGATAGACGGAGGCCTAACTCTTTGTAATGGAGGAACGGGACAAGCTTGTGTATCCGTTGGCTGCTTCTTAGCCACAGCTAGCTAGGGAAAAATTGCCCCCAGTTTGACACCGTCCTCCTTTTTTTTGTGGCTTGTTTTCATTTTTGCTAAAACGACGTGGAGAAGAATCATCTCCTGGAAGCGCAAGTTGTTCTGGAGGGAGTTCCAAATTTGGAAGGGGAGAATTTTTTTAAAAAAAAACCCTGCAGAAACAGAAAATTAGGGGTGGGGGGAACCTCAGGGACATGAAATGTAACTCCTGTTCTGGAGGCTTGGGGGTGGCACTGCGGTCGGAGACCGTGGACCGTACCTGATGAGCTTTGGCTTTAGGTTCCAAGAGCTGGACCTGAGCACAGAGGCTTTCTTCTACTTTGAGTCGACCAAGGAACAAGAGTGGCTGAACGCCGTGGAAAAGGCTCTGCACCCCAAGGCCAAATACAAGAAGGCAAGCTGTTGCTCCCACCCACCCAACCGCCTGCTTCCCCCCCCTCCCGAATTTGGTTTAAGTAAAACCACTGAGCACAAAACGGACGGTCACACCGGCATCTTGTGCCTTTCTTGCAGGTGCAGCTGGTGCGCTTGGTTGGCATGATGTTGCTCGTCTTTGCCCGGAAAGATCACTACGGCTACATCAAGGAAGTGATGGCGGAGACCGTGGGCACCGGCATCATGGGGAAAATGGTGAGTGTCGCCCTGACTGGCGAGGTCTCTGGGTGGCTATCTCTGCAGGCCAGACTTCCCTTTCCTGCTTGCTGGGTAACTGCCTTTTTTTCCTCTCCTCCTCCTCCTCCTCGGCAGGGTAACAAGGGGGGTGTGGCCGTGCGCTTTGTCTTTCACAATACCAGCTTCTGCGTCGTCAACTCCCACCTGGCTGCCCATGTGGAAGACTTTGAGCGCCGCAATCAAGATTACAAGGACATCTGTGCCCGGATGAGCTTCCAGCCTCCCGACCAGGGTCTGCCGCAGCTCACCATCATGAAACATGAGTATGTTCCCGGGCGTTGAAGAGAAGGGAGGGCCGGGTGTCCTGGATAAGCTTCTCTCTCCCTCTCCCTCCCTCCCTCCC